TTTACTACAAATGTTTTGCAAACCATTTATTTTAAACGAAATTTTTGGGCGTAAAAATTGGGTCGTTACAGTTTCACCACTGATGCACCTGGTTGAAAGGTTCCGAGAAGGGCGGATAGCGAGTGTAGTTCATTCACCTGATCCTCTGAAGATGGGGTTGAGACCTATTTCTACAACAACCCTCAAATGTGTACTCTGTCAGGGATTTTGCAAGATTTTTTCCTTTTCAAACAATATATCGCCGGGAACACCAATTTTAATGGTTGTGGCCCACTCTAATGGTCAAGCCAGAATAATGTATTGTTGCCTTTGCCCACCTGTTCATTTAAACTTTGTCCATTTTAATACCTATATCCATGAGGTCCTCCTTAGTTCCAGCAATATTGTTCCATACCTATGTAATAGTTTTTTTTTTAAATGACAGTTCAGGGTTTTTTACTTAAAATATATATTCCTCTAACAACTCGAGCCCACAGTTGCAATGGATCGGTTCTAAGCCTCCACCACCACTTCGTAATTAAGGATAGGTTTAAGGCTCTCAATGATCCTACACCCAAACCACCCATATCCTGGGGAGCTTTGACCTTTTCCTAAGACACCCAATGCACTTTCTTTTTTTCATTACATCCTCCCCACAAAAATCACCTCTGAATGAACTCAAGTGTGTTTATAACTCCAATAGGAGCGACAAACAATGAAAAAAAAGAAGGTTGGAAGGTTCCCCATCACAGCTTTGATTAGTGTCAGTCGACCCCCAAATGACAATGTTTTTGCCTTCTATGAGGATAGTTTTGAGTGAAACTTGTCGATCATCGGTTTCCAATGTTTCTTCAAATCCAAGTTAGCTCCAACCGGTATTCCAAGATAAGTGAACGGAAGTGTAGCCGGTTCACAGCCGAGTGGAGCCGCCCATCTCTCTACCTCCTGCTTGCTTGCTCCAATACCGAATACCCGTGACTTAGGCTGAACGGAGTCGTGCAGCTATTGTCGAACTCCACATCAGCAAAAAGGGGGAGAAGAAACTTGGAAGAAGAAGAGAGGGAGAAGGGAGGGGTGGGTTGCCGAGTGAGGCAGAAGGAAGGAGGAAGAATGGAGGAAGAAGAAAGAGACTCGACACATCTCTATCGAGTTGCCGAACCGAGCTCGGCATGCCGAGGGGTCGGCCCGGTGTTCGCCGAGGTCGCCGAGCCTCTTGCCGAAGCCACTCCGTCCAGCCTTATGGAAATTTACTTTTAGGCCGGACGAACACATGAAAATTTGCTTCCAGAATATATCGACTATTAACATGTTTCTTTTTCTATTGCTAACTCTATATCGATACAAATGACATCTCAAGTTTATTCCATCGATTGAAACTAATTAAACGTATCACCTCATTCAGTTATCTCCCATTGATAGAGTTTATTCCATGGCTTTAAAATTACTGTAAACCTTATGTGGTCTCATGTGATTTTGGACGAATAAAATACATGACATATAAATAACGATTTAAAATAGATATATTCAAATATGATATAATTAATCAATTAATTAGGATGTTAAAAATAAAGACGCAATTATAAATAGATGACACGTACCAATTGGTCCAAATTTACTTTTCATATCATAAGCCAAGCACTTCGTAGTGAAACTTTACAAAATGATATCTCTGGTTTTGACAAAAACAACCATCCGTTCTACCAAAACCTTCATTTTCCAAAAACCAACTAAAAAAGAAACAAAAACTAAGACAAAAATAACGACTTAAAATTACCATTACTTGATAATTACCTTCCTCCAACTACTTGATCGATTCCTTTACAAATATATATATATAGGGTGAGTTGCTATTGTTCTCATGCACTTAGTTACGATTTAATTTCATGAAATATATATAAAGCTTTATGTAATTAACGATTGCGGGTTTTGTTCATTGATGGTTGTCACGTTATTATTGCATGGCCATGCAGACGATAATAACGGGTTCTGAAGCTGCCGGACGAGCAGTACTTGACGCATGTCCCATAGTTTTTGCCGGAGCATCACTGATTCCGATCGGAGCCTCTCGTTTTCTTGCCTTATAACTTGTGCATGATGGCTTACAAAACTTAACCGGTTCATTATTTCTCGGTTCACAATCTTATGCCGGTTCACCTGGTTCCTCAGGTTCTCCAAGTGCTTTTGTTTTCTCATGCGAGACCTCCGTGCAGACTCCCGGTTTGATATCATGCGTCTCCTCTTACGTTCATCAATCAGGGTGACTTCGAGAGGATTCCGGTCAACATCTCCCTCGTCGGATCCGGAGTTGGAGCTGTTGGTTTTTGGTGTGGAGTCGTCGGAGCCGGAAAACGAAAAGACAGGCTCTTGAGGTGGATAAAGAAAGGGACTTTCATGAGTGTCAGTGTCCCAAGGGGTAAACCCAGTTCCAAGAAAGTCGTCGGACGGAATATGGTCGCCGGCGGTGGGGAAAACAGAAGACAACATGATCGGAAAAGCGTTTTAGACGGTGGAGGAAGGTAGGAGGAGGAAAGGGAAGAAACGATGGGTTGGAAGGCGGTATTTAAGAGCAAACTCATCATATGTTGGTGGGACCCACCCAATTAGTGCATTACTATAAAAATAATTATTGTTAATATAATGTAACATTTTTGGCATGTAAAACTCTTCTTTTATACGTTTTCAAGTTGTAATCAATGTGTATACTTCTTTAATATTTATAAACTTTGAAAGCGATGACATTTGAAGTTAATGTTTCGTATTTAAAACAGAAATAGGAATTGATTTTAATTACGTGAGACTAATGCTTTTGAGTCAGGCGGCACTCACGGTGGGGCCACCGTGGCTTTTCAAAAGGTGGTGACATCAGCAGTGTGGGTCCCACGGTGTTGATGTTTAAAGCTTAGTCATGAAGAAACAAAACAGGTGCCATCACTTCTTAACACGTGTCAAAACCCCATGGGCCAGTACGCTCAAAACCAATAGGATGCCAGTTGCTTACGTGGAAACACGTCGGTGGCGCGGCTTTGAGACGACGAGCCAAGCCAACTAAAATGGCATAAAATGATAAAAATAGAAAATATAGTTTAATTTAATATATGATTTAAGAAAAATTAAAAGTGAAAAAAAAAAACAATTATGAAGTAGGGTTATAAGTTATAACAAAAGATAGACATACTAAAACATAATACAATTAATTTGAATTAAGGATTATATTGGGTTTATTTATTATTATTAATTATCATTTGACTAGATGAGGTAATAAGATTTACAAGTAACTGACTTGTCGCATCACAATGATCATCTTTTGCTTTCAAAAGTTCATGCGACATTATCTTTACGTATACATTTAATTTAACTATACCTCTAAAACTTCATTACGGCTTTATTTTAATTGGAAGTACGTTTTAACTTTTAAGTAGTAATTTCCTTGTGTATAATAAATCACGATATATTTATAACATATCTTTCTAATAAAGTTGAAAGTACAGGCTTTTGGTTTCCATTTTATTTCTAATTATGAAATGATTAAGACGTACTTTCTGTTTTATATCACCTAATGAAAACGAAATTTAACTAACTAAATGAATTAACTATGTTAGAACAACAACATATACATATACATACATACATATACATGTGAATATAAGAATGAATTAAGGAGTAACGAAAAAGAAAATAAAGTATAATAAGAAAAAGAAAAAAATGAATCAAGATTCCTAAAGAATCACGCAAGATTCTTGGAAGCATGAGGCCGACAACATGTTAAAGAATTGATCTTGTTACAAAGTTGTTGTTTTCCATCTGTCTGACTGAGAGAAATTGAAGGAAACAAAGATAATGCAAAATTAATTTGGTTTAAAGTATGTTATATTTTTTATACAATCATAATGTCATGTCTTTAATTTGACAACTAAATCTATGAGACCTTACAACAGAGATTAAAAAATAAAATAAAATAAAGTTTGCTTTAGAAGACGATAACTGATCTAAAGGTTCATATATGTATAAATATGAAAGCATGGATTATCGGAGATTTAATATCTCAAGATGGGGAGAAAACTGAAAAGTATAAAAGCGGTTAGTGGTTTTGTGGAATTGGTTCCTTAGTTAATTGTTGCAGGTTATAATGATAATTATAATTTATAATTATATTTATGAGAAAAAAATAGAAAAGATGCTTTCTAAAGGTCGATTCCCACTAGTTAATACCCTACACGCTTCTTGACCTACTCGTTTTTATCAACCATCTTACATAAAATATAATCAATAAATAATAAATAATATCTTAATTAACATCAATTTAAACACACGGAGGTTAATACAAAATAAAGATAATGTAACATTATCTTCTTTGATATCACGAAGTAATGTGCAATGTGAGCCATAAACCCAAGAATGACTGCAGAGTGCACACAGAAATCAAAGAAAGTGTGTTTTTGACATAAACTATGCGGCAACATTTTATATTGTTACCAAACATATCAATCTTACCTGTAACTTGTTTAACAGGTTGCAAGGTAGTTGCATGATTTGTGTCAAATCCATTTTGTTGCATAAAGTATTAAAATTAAAAAATAAAAAGTTATACGATGTTGCCGGATTAGTAAGCATTTAAAATGTATGATTAGATTTTCAAATCTACAAAAAAAACCTTGAATAAGACCAATAAATGAACTTAGAAAAGATGATAGTTCATGAACGTGTATAGGCTCTCTTCGCATACTATAATCCCAACATTTTTTTTATTTACATGCATTTCTTCATTTAATTTCATTGTTATCTATCTACCACTACTTAATGTCTCTAACCACATACAAACAAAGACATTGCAATCGTGATCACTACCTTCTTGTGGTAGATGCTCAAAAAAATGAACTTTCAACTGCATAATAGCGGACTACCATTAGCTCTTTACCTAGTAATCTATGAACTTTAAGTAGTCGTTGAAATAATATATGGAAGGTTTTAAGCTTTCCAAGATTTTCTCGTTATGACTATTGATATCATGCTATCATAAATATTCAATGTTCACGACATTAAGTAGTCGTTGAAATAATATACGAAAGGTTTTAAGTTTTCCATTAATTACAAATCTATGTGATAAATTTAAAAATTTCAGTTATGTTTGACGTGTTATCCGAAAAACTAGTTTTTAAATTATAAGTTAATTTATCAATAAACTATTTTAAATTAATTATATTAAAAACTAACTTATAAACTATTTTAAAGATCTCAACAAAGATTAAATTACAATAATCTAAAATGTACGACAAACACAACTTTATACACAAATTTAAACATTACTTCATAACCAACAAACTTATTTAAGTAAACTATTCTAATTGGTCTGCCAAATTCCAAAAGATTAATCACTAAAAGAACCCGCTATTAAAGTGGCCTAGTCACCTAAAAATCAATTATTTTAAAATGAAAGTTATCTATTAGAGTCTCACCCCATTCAATTCTATTTTACGACGGTTTGTCTTTTCAAAATGTTACTAAATTGTTTTTTAAACATGTATTGCACCCATTTTGTAATTAGACCTTGCAAAGTGCATTTTCTTGCGTAATTCATTTATGATTGGTCTATGTTACAAAAATAAAATGATAAATTTTTTTTTGGTAAAAAGACATCATAATTTCACGATGGTGTCATTTCACAAGAAAAATCTACATAAACTAGACGTACAATGGTTATTTCATAATACACTAATACATCTTCAGATTTCATAATACACTAATACATCTTCAGATTTGATTATATTGTTGCGAGACAACCCATCTATTTTGGTATTTTAGTATTTAATTCATGCTTTAAGGGGGTTGGACATTCCTTCTTCCTGCTATCCTGTTTGTGAGATTGGTTTGTATTCGGTCAGTCACATTTTCTTCTTTTCTTTTGTTGCCTCCTATCTTAGAGCTCGACTTTTGACGTGGTGGGGATTAGACATTGAGATGCTTACGTTGTATGGTGATTGGCTTGATTGGTTTAGTGATATTCGGTTATAGAAGGGTGCTAAAGACTTCCTGGAAGGTGCGTTTTATGTCATGCGGTGGCACATTGCAGATATTGTAACGAGCTTCTTTTGATAAATGATAAGGAGAAACCTAAGACCGGACGAAGCCGGTGCGGGAAGGAGGGGCGGGGCGTTTCCCGCTCCGATGAACACTGCACCAGGGGTGCGGGAAGCACTGCGCGGGGAGGAGGTGGGGGAAGGGTTTGTCGCTTTCTTGCTCCTAAGGTGATTGGATAGAAATTTTTTTTTTTAAAACAACCGTTAAAAACGGTAAATTTTGATTTTTTTTCTTTTTTTTATTTCCAAGGGCTATATCATTTAGAATGTAATTTTTTTTACCCTCTACAATTTCTATAAATACTCATACTCATTTACCTTCAATCAAACCCCAACCTCTATTTTCTTCAAAAAAAAAATGAATTCCGACAATCAAACCCCAACCTCCGATAGAAGGAAAAAAAAACTCATGTTTCGAGTTTAAGCACCCCTACTCGAAACATTTTTGCTATCGATTCATCATCACAATAAGTTTATCGTCCCCAACTCGATGCTCACATTCAATCTCCACTACAATTTCAATACCAAAATGTTAGACAATATTACACGATCCAAGTTCCAAATGTTACTCCGTAAATGTTTTCAAACTTTGTTGTTTTCCCGATCAACATTCGCCAAATCAACCTCAAATCCAAACTCAACCCCAAACCCAAACCCAACAACAATTCCAACTTGTCGATGAGTTCGATGACACGGAAGAAGAAGAGATGGTTCGTGAAACTCAACCCACACCACCCCCACAACGACACAAAGGAAAACAACAAGCGCGCGAGGGTGTCGCACAACCGGGAAGACAAAGGCCAATACCATGGCTTCCACAAGAAGAGCTAGTTTTGGTAATTAAAAGCTTGGGTTGACATTTCTGAGGATTCGAAGACGTGACATGCACAATCGGGAGATCATTTTTGGTTTCGCATTTTAGAACGGTTTCGAGAGGAGCTAGGAAAAGATGGCGATTATCGTACGAAACACCAAATGAATTCGAAGTTTCGAGAAGTAGCAAGGGGGGTTTCAAAAATAAACGGGTTGTACAACAACCTAAAAACCCAACGAAGAAGCGGCTAAGGCGACGAAGAAATACTTCAAGAAGCTTTGCAATTTTACCTTGAGGAAGTTGGAAAACCATTCAAGTGGCACGATTGTTGAAAATTATTGGTTAAAATTCCTAAGTGGAAAAAATACGAGCAAGATTTTATTTTTGGAGTACAACAATCAAAGCGAACGAAAATGGGCTCTAGTTGTTACACAACTTCCTCTGATGCTCGGGTCGGTCTAGATTTAAATCAGGAGGACGAACTCGAGCTAGAAGAAATTGTCCGACCGATGGGTAGGGACAAAGCAAAGAGGAAGGGAAAAGGGACTTCTTCGGGTTCATCGGATTTCAGCATGGACCTTGACGAAATGCGGAAA